GCCCACAGTCCCTTTCCCTCTCTGGGTCCAAAGTTGGAAATTCATTTTTATGATAAGTTGTGAAATACTAACTTTCTTTGGGGTTACCTTATAGTCTACTGACTGTTCTCTCCATTTAAGATAATCCATTGTATCCTGTAATTTACCTGACAGCCTCAACACCTGGGTTTCAGATTGCTACGTTTGTCCCTTCTTTGACATTGATATAATTTTGATCTTCGGTTGACCTCCCAGCTCCTTTGAGTTTGTTGTTGTAGTCTTGTTCTGTTATGGACTCTGCTATCTGTTGACTGAGTTCCAGGTGGTGTTGCCTAGCCTGTCAATCTCTGTTTGTTGTCTGTTCTTCTTGGTTTTCAGTCCACAGAACTCCCTTTAAGATGTTTTGAAGTACTGGGTTGTTTTTGATAAAATCTCTCAGATTCTGTTGATTGAGGAATGTCTTGATTGCACCATCATATTTGATTGATAGTTTTGCTGGATAGACAATTCTTAGTTGACAGTTTTTTTTCTTGTAGGGCTTTGTATATGTCTCCCCATTGCCTTTTAGCCAGCATGGTTTGTTCTGAATAGTCAGACCTTAATCTAATTTGATTGCCTTTAGAAGTGACATTTCTCTTCTCCCTGGCTGCTTTTAGTATTCTCTCCTTTTGTTTGATTTTGGAGAGCTTGATTATTATATGTCTTGGTGACTTTCTTTAGAGGTCTCTCCTACCTGGGATATATTTGGATCTTGAATGTTTATATTCTCATCTTTCAAGATGTTAGGGAAATTTTCTTAAAGAAGCTCTTCATCTATCTCCTCTGTGGACTTCTCTGATTCTTCCTGTTCAGGAATGCCAATAATTCTTAAGTTTTTCCTCTTCATGTTATCCAGCATGAACCATAGACTCTCTTCAGATTTTTTTTATCCCTTTTTCCGCTTGCTTTGATATCTTAGCAGTATTGAGAGATTTGTCTTCCAGCTTGCTGGTTCTGGCTTCATCTCTTCTATTCTGCTCTTTTCCCCTTTCAGCATATTGTCCATTTCTGATATCCTATTATTGATCATCTGGACATCTTTTGCAGGTTTCGAATTTTTCCAATGCTGTATCAATCTTATTTGATTGCTCCTGTAATACTTTCCTGACTTCTTCATTGTTTTCCTCCACCATTTTCAGAGCATTTGAATTTGTTTCTATATTATTCTTCTGAATTCTTTCTCAGGCATATCCAAACCTGCTCTTCCTCATCTATAAAACCTTTGTCTGTCTCCAGCTCATTTGCATCAGCTACTCTCTTCTGTATTTGGATGTGTTTTGATATATTTTTTTGTTTTTTGTTCATCATGATAGTTATGTGTGTGTTTTGTTTTTTTAAAACAAGTGAATTTTTGTTGTTTGTTAAGCTTGCTGTGTGACTCCTGGTGAATATGATCAGGAGATAGGCTTCCATTTTTGCATATAATGCTTAGCGGGTGTTGTTGAGTCTTGTCTCAGTGGTGGAATATTGTGGGGTATGCTTACAGCTTGGCTATATGGCCACAATTGCTGTCTTTTCTTGGATAATGTAGGGAGAAAAAGCTCCCACTTCCAGGAAAGATATGTGATCAAAAGGACCAAAAGAAGAAGTAATATAAATGCATAGACAAAAATCACCACTTTGGAACAGAAATGAAGCTGTGGTCGACTGTCCCTAGTGACACCGTCAGTGTGTGTGCAATTAGAAGCCTCCAGCAGGGGTGAGGGTGTCTGCTCTCTCAGGCCCCTCTTCTTGTCACTACAGTAGACATGCACAGGTAGATATTGGGGAGTTAATGGGAGAAAGATTGTTCACTATTTTTGTCTCTGAAGGTCATTTAGGTATCTGCGTGTGCACAGTGCAATTCTTGGGATGATTGAGTCCTTTTATGCTGATGTTTTACAGATTGCTTTGAATTGGTCCTGCACAGGAAGCTCGAGCAGTGTTGCTGTGAATGGGGCCATGAACCACAAGGTCAGCTGTTCAAAACCACTAGTCGTACCATGGAAGAAAAGTGAGGTGCTCCATTCCTGCACAGACCCACAGCCCCGGAAACCCTGCTTAGGGTCGTCTGGAGTTGGAACCTACTCCATAATACACTGCCGCGAAGGATCCTGCTGGGAAACTTTTAGGTCTGTGCTTCTGCAGGTGATGTTATAAGTTGCTTCCTCTCTCTGTACCATGGGAAAACTGTCCCACCTGATGTCTGGGCTGAGCAAGGAAGGTGGGACAGGGAGAAAGATGGAGAAATGTGTAGTCTTCTGAGTCTCTTTCTCTCTCTCTCTCTCTCTCTCTCTCTCTTTTTTTTTTCTGCATATGTCTGTACACCACTTTTAGCTCCATTTTCTGAGCCAGACTGGCTTTTGCCCTGCCCTCTAAACTCTGCCAGGGCAGGGTAGTTGCAGTGGGAGTCCCATCTCCAGATTCCTAACTTGCGGTATTTTCCTTAATATCATGATTTTTTCACTTGCGAATGTGGGAAACTGATGTCCTGGATCTTATGGTAGATCCCGGGCTCTGGAGTTGTTCTATGAACGCTTCCTTCATGAGATTTCCCCTCCCTTCTCACCGGAGCGTACCCTACCTGGTTTTCACTGCTATTGGCCAAAACCTGACTTATTTTTATTTCCTAGTCTTAAAAAAAAAAAAAAATCTATAAAGGACATCCACTTTTCTTCAGTTAGTGATGTAGGTAACTGTTATTAACATAAGAAAGTGGGTGCTCATGTCAGGACTGCATTGACAAAGTTAAATCCCCAATACCCTCAGTTCTTTAGGGATGAACTAAATGGCTGGCTTCAAGACACTTACAAAAGTGTCTTAAACTTCATGGAACTGGTATTGAGAAACAAAATTTATGTTTTTATCTTTTAATTCCATTTTTCTGCAAACATTGTGAAGACCCCTCATATTTCATATTTCAGAGTCACATGTCTTCACTCAATCTATTTTATACAATTGAAAACTTTTCCTATCTCATTTTAACACAAACTAAACTAAACAAAGGAAATGTGCATAATAAAACTCGCTTTCTGTGTCTGGATAACCTATTTTACATGTCAACATATTTCCCAACTCAGTGTTGGGAAATAAGTTTCTCAATGAGAAACAATGAGCATTTTGGTTGATCTTCTTTGTAAAGGACTGCTCATACACTCTAAATGTCAGTAGATTTATTAAGTCACTGTGGCATGCAAACAATATTTCTAGAAAATTCCAAATGACCACTAAGAAGATTATAACTCCCCTGAACTAGAATATTGAATTCATTAATTTTTATATTATGTATTTCCCAGAACACAATATGATGAAAAATGAAGTAGAAATTATACTTAACAAGACTAAGTCAAAACCATATAGTTATTTGTTGAAGTGCAAGAATTATCTAAATCTGGGATTAAAACAGCATATGACATTGCTTAAGAATGTGTGTCTCTGGTAAACACAATCTCTCTTTTATTCAATAGCAAAATAATATAAACATCTCTTTTTTTTTTTTTTTACTACAGAGAATAAATCAAAAGCTAGCTAGTATATTTCAGTTATTTATAAATACAATTTGAGCAGAGGACTTACAATCGTGGTACAGACATTTTCCCCACCTATGATGAGTCAGGGCTTAAGCATTGTAAATTCAGACTAGTGATGTTGACAGGTGACATCATAAAGAGATCAGAGCATTGGGAATTAAAGGGGAAAAAACAGGAGGAGCTAGTTTTACTTGGGCTTTATGCTCTTTAACTTTTAATCTAAGATGAGTATCTACTTTCATTATTATTGATTAAATTCAGTTTGTAGTTTTAAAAACAGGCAATTGCATTTACATTATTAAAAACATCTGTTTTGATTTACATGTGGTTATAATTTATTACCTAATATGGAAAGAAAGATGAATCTAAACATGTAACTGTGAAGATCAATTTCGATCTTAATTTCTTTATATCCATGCATTCTTCTTAATACCTTTGCGTAATGCCATGCTGGCTTTTTCATCTTCATGTAACAGCTTATATTTAAAAGCTAAGGACACCTGATCTCTGTCTCTTTCAGAAACCGCTTGCCCCAGATTCACAGGGATGGATAGACATGCTAGTGGTGAGCCTCTCTGGAGCTTTAAAAAGTTCCCTCTCCTCTAGTTGATGTTCCTGTTAGGATGCATTGAGAGGATGCATTGTTTCTTTGTCCCTGGCATAAAATAAATACTCAATAAACATGTGTTGAGCAAATAAGACATTTAACAAATGGGTGAATAAGAAATTTTAATCATTCCAGGGCTTTCCAAAATTTTAACTAACTTGATTAAACTTTTAAAATAAATAACTATTGCTACCCATAATTTAGCCTATAACTTTATACGTATTTGATTTGTTTCAATCACTTTAAACCAGTGATTTAATACGCTCATTTTAAATCTAATATTAATATATATTTAGTTTCTCAATTCAGTTATGAAAATGCATCTTCTATCTGCTTGGTGATATTTTCTTAGGATACATACACTGTAAACATCCACAGTCTTGAAATCCTAGCTGGCAGTTCTTCCCTAACCTATTACGGTCACTTTTCGTTTGTGATAAACTTGGGAAATTTTGGTTTGGTTTTGGCAGGTGGGCTTAAAATTTTGCCTTTCTAAAAAGTTCTCCAAAGATCTTGAGAGAACACTTTGAAAAATTATCACTTCAATCATACGTCTATGGTTTGGTAAAGTAGAAAGTGACTATCTGATCTTTTTATGAGATTGTGGGAGTGGGAAAATCCTTAACACTATGAGCAAATATACATAAATATGAGTGTTTTTAATAAATAAATAAATAAACTACTAGCATTATTGCTTTCTTCTTCTGCATTATAATGAAAGTCTAAATTCAAAACTCACTCATAATTTTGAGATACAGTTTCATAAGGAGAAACTTAGGAAAATAAAATATGGATACAGTTTTTAGCTCATTTATAATATACTTGATACTTCTGTTATAATCAAGAGAATGGTAATGCTATAAGATAAACAGTTTTTCATCAGTGATTATTTTTCTTATAAATTATGCAATTTGTTACATGATATAGTTTGGAAAATTATCCAAAGTGCATATCTAGAAAGCTGTTTTTCTGTCCTTGGGCTCTTTCTGCAAATTTACTTGGCTTCTATATCTTTTTCTGCTTACTAGAATGACAACAATTAAACACTCAGCAAAAGAAATTTGTAGAATACATACAAGAATACAACACATGTGCAGGTTCTGGTTATGTTGCTGTGCCAAGTACAAAAATCTGTGATATAATGGCAGTGATAGAATACAATACATGGCCTTGGAGGAAATAGATTTTAGCTTATGCCTACAAAATCTTGTATTCCAGAGACTCCATTCAACTCTGGTATTAATATATATATATGTTTTGGGATTGTTCTTTGAATGCAAATATCTGTCAAGGCCAAGTCTCTTGTATTTTGAGTGTAAAAACAATGTACTTCTAAATTTGGGATTTCGCTGAAACCACTTGTCACGGTATTATGAGTAAAGACATTCAGTTCATTTATAAAGCAAACATTTAGTGAGTTTATAGTTAACATCAGGAACTGTACTGCTTCTGGTGTATGCAGACAGGAAAATAATGTTTAGAAATATCCTTGAATATACTAATACAGAGAAACAGAATCAAGTCATTTTGAACTAATTTGAAGAAAATTTATGATAATAAAAATAAAATTCATCAGACACATATCTTACATTTTTCTATCCATCAACACTGTGAAATAATTACTATTATTGTCCCTTTTATTTCTTTAATTTTCCAAGGAAATTTTGGACTGAAATTAGTAGAATTTTTATTTCTTTATCACTGGCTTTGGTGGGTGGTATGTAAATTTGAATAATAGTTGTATTAACTAGTCATCTTTAGCTAATAGCTATTATCTTATCACAGCATTGTATTTCAAGATATATCTTGAAATGTGCTTATTGACAATGAATGTGATGCTATTCCTCTTTAATAACTCATTCCTGGCAAAGTAAACAATATGATTATCAGGTTCAACATGGTCATTGCCTGTTTGTTTTGACTTACTAACACCTCTTTATGCACTTAATTTAATTTATGACAACTTTCAATTTTCCTAGATTTATACTTTTTACATTTCATGTTCCTATTATTTTTAGATGTTTGCAGCTGTTTCTTTTCATTTTGAGTTGTGTCCCATCAACAAATGAAGGTCCCAAAAGTTTTGTTCCATCCGCATCATTAAGGTCAACTGTACCTTGAGAAGGCAACACTTCCTCACTCATATTTGGAGTTCTTTCCAACCCAAGGGATTCAAATTCTAGTATTATATCAGGCAATGTTTTGCTGCTATCCATAAGGCTTTCAGAGGTTAATACCTTAGCAGTAGACAGTCTCTTCCTTCTTCCTAGTCTATTCTTAATACAAAAGCTTCACTTAAATGGGTCTACCATGGGTGACTCTGTTGGTATTTGAAATACCAGTGGCAAATCTTCTAGTATCACTGCACCATGCAAGACACCACAGTACAATAAACTGGTAGATGTGTGGGTGTTGGAAATTTAGATAAGTATAAATTTGCATCAGTATTTTAATGCAAAGAAAAAATGCTCAATGATAGTACAGGATAGAACAGATGCATAGTTTGGAGTTATAACACAATATAAAATAGTGACATGGAAAGAATGTACTAGGGTGGGGGTCAGGATTTATAAACTCCCAGTCAGTTTCAGGTTTCCCATCTGTGAAAGAAAAATAATGAATATCATGTATTCTTTTGTATTCCAGATCCTTTTCTATTGGATCAACATTTCTATTGATGTAAACATTTATGGATGGGCACAATTTTCACTTTAGATCTCTACGTGAATAGAAGATAATTGAAACCTAAGTAATGAATTTTAAAGCTTCCCACACATCCACATCCACATCCACAGAAAAAAGCAGAAAATAGGTTAGGACCCCTAACTTTATTTTATTTTAAATGTTTTTATTTTGGATTGAGTGAAAGTTTACAGGGCATATCATCAGCTTCACATTCAACCATTCATATAGCTTGTTTCATTACATTGATTATTATCCCCTCCATAATCATCAGTTAACAGTGTTTCTATCCTCTTTAGCTTTTTTTTTTTTTTTGGGGGGGGCTTGCCTTTTTGGAATTTACAGTCTCAGCTTTTAGGGAAGGTTTTTACATTTGTCTGTGGATATCCAGGGCTCATGTATGAGATTACTAACAAGCATTACTGAATAATCAGATGAGGGACAGTTTGCTATGTCCTGACCGGGTCTACACAGTCTGCAACCGAATCCTCCTAATTTATTGTTTGTTTAAGGGACGCTGCCTGTCTTAGGCGGTCAGTGTGAATTCCTCAGTCTTACCAGTCATTGAAACTCGTTGCAGCATGGCAATGGCTATGTCTTAAGTTGCCGAGGTACCACGTGATCCTTACCCATCTCTGGCCACACGTCTACCATAAACAGCCGCCATCCGAGGAAGGCAGGGAGGGAGGAGATCGGCTGGGGACCCCATACGCAAGACGTTGCCAGCCCACCACCTGCTCTAAGGTGACCAAGCAGGATCACTATGCTGAGGTTCAATCAAGTTCTTAGGGGATCTTACTCTCTAGCAGGGGTAGCAAATTAGTAGCCACTCAGTGCTCACTTTGAGAGTTACTTATATCATAAATTTGAGCATGTAGCTGATGAATATCCACAGACAAGTGTATATTGTTCCACAACCTCCCAAAATGCTGTTGGATTAAGTTCCAATCAAGTTCTGGATTACTGAAAGATAACACAAATCTGCTTATACCATGAATAACCTTAGCTGGGAGTGTAATCTGGATATATTGGGTATTATTTCCCTTAAGTGATCTTCCTTTCTCTAAAGCATTTAGTCTGTTTTGTGAACCTTTGTCTATTTACTCTTGGATCATATGAGCGAGACTAATATCCCTAGACAGTTGATTTACATGGTAGGCAGGGCAAAAAAGGTAACAGTTCTATTTGCGCAGTGATTCTTGACCTGAGAGCAAAGGCACATGGCACGTTTAAGGGCCAGGCACCGCAATGATTTGCCTAGCTTCTGAAAACTTTAACAGGGAATAAAACCTACGATGGTTGATGGACGATTGCAAAATCAGTAACATCTATTAACTCCCCATTCCCCATGCCCGACAAGCAAAGCAGCAGAATGTCTCTGGGGTTTATCCAGTTCCCTAAGGGTTAAACAGTTCTTTAAGTCTTCTCTGCTGTGGCTGGCTCGTTGGTGCTCTTGCCGGGGGGGGGGCCTCAATGTAGATGCAGATGACATCCCTCTTTCAGGTGGGTCTTCGGTGAATGCTGGCTCCCTCAGGCACGCTCGCTCCAAAGATAGAGAAGTGGCTGTCCTCTCGTTATAGGGTCGAATTAGGCTGGAATCTATACTGGAGAGCTTTTGACCTGTAACACAGACTAAAACTCTAGCCCCTTGGTTAGTCACATAATAAAGAAACATTCCAGCATCCTAACAGGTACCCCAGGACCCCTAACTTTAATCAGCATTATTAGAATTTTTAAATAATAGACTATTACTTTAGTGTTTTCTTTGATCTCCAAATTTTGAAACCAATATTGCAAAGAGAGAACAGGAGAAGTTTCTGATACAATTCTCCAATGATTTACGCAATTGCATGGAAGAAGTTTAAAGTATATGTGTGATGATTTGACTTATAAAAGATCATTCTCTACAGGCCAATGTAGATACTTCAAAACTATTCTGCTTTGAGGGTATTCATTGAGAGAATAAAAAAAATGATGGTTTGAAGGTTTCCACCCAAATGATTTATTAAGGTTCAGTATTAGACTTCTTGGGGTTCCTGGGTAATGCAAATGGTTAAAAAGTGAAACTGAAAACCAACATGTTTTCTGTTCAAATCCACCCAGATGTGATTCAGAAGAAAGGCCTAGCGATCTACATCTGAAAACCAGTCATTTCTCCTC